TGTGACAAAAGTCACCCGTGCGCGCGCGCCTTTACTACCTGCTCTGCCTGCACTTGTACTTGGTAACAGGGATAATAAGGATATGAAGTTTCGGTTATGGATACGGTTACGGATATTAGAATAATATTATACCGGTTTCGGTTACGGTCACGGATATGAAATCATTTCAGATTATCCGAAAGTCTCGGATAATTTCGGTTACGGAATTATTAGAATTTCAAAAATGTAGGTATAATACAAATAGCAAGATGCTGCGTGAGCGTGACCCACATAGCTACTTTATGTACCAACTAAGACGACACCTATGTACGATAAAGGTAAAACAGGCTGGCATATTAGATGGTGCCAGCGAATGCCAGACAAGTTGGTAACAAATATTAAGATTTAAGGTACAATTCCAAGACGGGCCGCAGACCAAAAACTGCAACCGCAAACTGCAACCGCAAACTGCAAAACTATGAAATCGGCAGCGCGGCATTGCAGCTGCGGCGTGTATACTGCAAATTTCATAGAGTTTTGCAGTTTGGCCTTTATCCGAAAATATCCGTAACTTTTGAATCAGTTTCGGTTACGGTTATGAACATTTTTTTATTTCGGATATCCGATAGTTTCGGTTACGGTTACGGATATCCATAACATCCCTGCTTGGTAAGATGGCCCTCTTCGTGGCTTCTCCACCTCACTTAAGCCAGAAACTTAAATTTTATCACATTAGAATAATATTTTTAACCAAGGTAGATAAAGTTAAAAACGGGATTATTTCCAAAAAACCAAAAATTGTCAACAATTACAGCAAAAATTTACCAAGTGTTATACCATTTTGGAATCCTTACTAAATGCGCCAAATTATGACGTCACTTGCCACACTCGCGTAGTACTTTTTTTTTCAGTACAGTCAGTTTAAACTAGGCAAAATTTTTATTTTGAAAAATTTTTTGAGAGTAATGTATTTTTTTCATCCAAGCTGGAGCAGCTGGTTTTGTAATTTTGATAACAATTTAGAGAAGAATTATTCAGGGTTACATAACAAAAAAAAAATTTGGAAAAAGTGAAGATTTGTGGCAACACGAGTAAAAGGACCGTCACCTGGAGTAGAATTTTTTGATTTTTTTTAAATGCCTATTATTTTTAAAATATGCCACATAGATTTTTTTTTATATTTTTCTGATAACCAGCACAACTTACCTCAACACCCAGTTCCGGCTTGACGTTACATTACGGGACACCCTGTATATTTTGCAGATACATATTGATGTTCCAAAATATGGCAGCGCGAAGTTTGTTTGCGTCTAATTTACAACTAAAGAGATCCCACATCCAAGTTAAAACTTAAAACGACGCTGCTACATTTGCGTCGCTGACTTTAAATACGTTGAAGGCAGGGATGTTATGGACATCCGTAACCGTAAGCGAAACTTTCGGATATCCGAAATCGTAACCGATTCAAAAGTTTCGGATAAAGGCGGAGTCTAAATCTTTATATTTTTAATATTTGTTACTTGTCTGGCATCCCCTGGGACCATTCTGATATATCCGCCTGTTTTACCTTTATCATAGGTACCGTCATAGTAAATAAAGTGGCTATGTGAATCGCGCAGCGTCTTGCTATTTGAATTTTACCTTTTTAAAATTCAAATATCTGTAACCGAAATTATACGAAACTTTCGAATAATCCGAAATGATTTACTATCCGTAACCGTAACCGGTATAATATTATTCTAATATCCGTAACCGTATCCATAACCGAAACTTCATATCCATAACATCCCTGCCCTTAAGCACGAAATTAAAACATTAGAAATGGCAACACTATAGATACTGGCAAGCTTACTAAACCGTTGAAAATTGTAAAAAAAGTACATTTAAATCTCGAATGTTCAATTATTTAAAAATGGAACAAATATCGAACTGCGCAATTTCGAACTACAACGAACTGTCACACCCGTGACATTGACAGCGGGGCGCCACCGTCAATACCGGATCGCTGGTTCCGATAGTTGAACGATGGTGGCGCCCCCCTGTCAATGTGTTTGGTGGGACAGTTCAGTGTAGTTCATCTATAATATTCACTATTTTATAAAATTAATCCTTGATATGTCAAAGTTTACGGTTTTTTAATATTTTCGAGTGATTTTTTCAACGTTTTATTTTAAAGAACAAGACGAATTTTCTAACAACTTTTGACTAGCTTAATTATAATGGCGTAAATTACTTCTTATAGTAGAAATATAAATAAAAGGAGCATACTCCAAACATGTACATTACAAAATTTCCATAGACACAAAATATATAAATCTATATTATACTAATTTCCTTACAATGATATAATAATAAAATTCTTTTTTTCGAACTGAGCACCTTTGAAATAAAATAAAGCACTAGCAAACATTAAAACCTTTCTTAAAAGATAGCAACATTGCATAACCATAGACTAACATTTGTCAAACCATAGACAAAACAAAAACGTGTAACCCTTAACAACTAGAAGAGAACTATACATTTTAATTTTTCAAAAACTTTTTAAAAGTGACTAAATCTTTTAAATCGAATTTTGTACTCAAAAAATGTCCGAAACAACCACTTTTACTCTATAACGCCATAGACAATATCCTCTAGTTCTAAACTTGAAAATTGTGTCTATGGTATGACTTCCGATTTTCGATATAACTACATCACAATACATTTCCTTCCCTTCGATCACAGAATTTTGACCCTGCCTCATGCAAGTGTTTCTACTGTCATATTACATTATTTTTTGTTTAGAATAGAATAAAAAGAATATATTTCCAAACAGATTATAATAGCACAGTGTACTACATGCTACGGTCTCCTAAATTCAATTAAACTCTACTAGCGGCCGCCCGCGACTTCGTACGCGTGGATCCCGTTTTACCCCTTAGGGGTGGAGGTTTCGTAAAATCCGTTCTTAGTGAGCACCTACGTTCTAAAAGGAACCCCATGCAAAATTAGAGACTCCTAGTACTTGTAGTTTCTGGGATTTCGTAATGAGTGAGTCAGTCAATCAGTGACGTTTCCCTTTTAAAGGTTAATAAATATAATACGACAGTAGATAACATCCAAACATCCCCCGCATTAAAAACATACACCCCCCCCCCCACATCATAATAACTTTCCATACAAAACATTGTATATCTCATACAACACAGACCGACAGACGAGAATATTAAAATCTAGTCTTTATATTAATAATATGATATTTCACGCACAGAAAATATCTTGATATTTTTCAACAATACATTAGCATTTTGTTTACGTTTTTAGCGGGGAGCCAGTCGTGGTTGCACCGAATTTTGTCAGTGTGTGCGTGCGCGCCGCATACGTATATTGGCGCGCTCACATACAAACCGCGCTCGGGCGTTTCTATGAAGATGACCTACTCATTTGTATTTACTCTGGTTGTATACATCAAGCCGTTAAGGCGTGGCTCTGAACTTGACATGTACTTGAAAACATAACTGATTTCTGGTGCAGTCGGGTAAAAAACATCAAGATGTTTCCTCGCAATTATAGTTAAAAATCCCTATGATATTGTGCGTACGATCACAATGGACGTAGATGCAGTCTGAAAATCACAGTTTTAAAGGTCCGATATAACAGTGATAAAGGTGGATTTATATTTGTCTGACGTGTCGTGTCATGACGCAGAACAAATTCGGTTTTATTCATTAAGGCCGGTTCTCTTTATTCCATCTCAATCCAAATCCGTCCTACAACTATCAAATTTCATTCAGTTTTAGATGCGTTTACACTTTAATATTGTATAAATAGTCTTATAAACAATATGAAAATGTAAAAACATCGAAATCCGTAGATATTTTGACCAAAAACATATTGATTTTTTTTATGCATAACAAGGCAGTTATTTGACCACAATCGCACCTGATGTTAAGTGGGATGCAGTCTAGGATGGTACATCTGCCCTGTAAGTGCCTATTTACTCTCGCCTTGAAAAGGTATTGATTTAAAAGTTTATTTGACAGTAATTGATGGACGGATTTGGATTAGGATTGAAGAAAACTGGCATTAGTGTGCGACATGTTAGAAGGCATCATAACATGACACATTCTAGTTTAAGCATTGCCATAATAAACGTATTCAAAACTAATTCCGTTCTGATGCGTCACGACACAGCACGTCACACAAATATAAATCCGCCTTTAGTCTCACTCTTTGAACTATCAATGAAATATTGAAATAGCTACTCTTTCAAATGTATATAAGGTGCAATTTAGATAAACACGGATATTCACTATCTAAAGAACCAAAGCTTAAACGCATAGACAATAAATGAGCCTAATTACTTCGAACGAGAGGTTTTTTAAAATGGCTTTTTTAGACTAGAGCGAGCGATTGAACATCTACTCCGATTGTTATCTCTCTCATACACATACCATCGTTCAAGCGTGCGAGAGAGACAACACTAATCGATTGCGTGTGATTTATTTTTAAATTATTATTATAATTCACTAAATAAGCATCTACTACCATTGTGGTACTGTCAACATAGAATGCAGCGTTCAAACCATTTGATGATTTAAGTCAGTGTAATAAAGATCATTTTTCTTAATAATCAAATGTTTTTAAAGGTGGATTTACATTTGTCTGACGTAGTGTCGTGACGCATCAGAACGGAATAGATTTTACGTCAGAAGCCATCGCAACACTTCAGATAAATATAAATCCACCTCAATATAATACAACACTGCCTTCGTGTGCTTAATGCAAGTTGCAGGTATAGCGATTAACAGAGTTAGAGCCTGAGGTACGGCAGCGGCACGGGAGGGTGTTTTTGTGACGTCAAACGTCAGCGATACTTCAAAAATGTGCTTATAGTTCCAAAATACTGAACTGTCCTATGCATGACATTGACAGTGGGGCGCCACCGTCAATACCGGATCGCTGGTTCCGATTTTTAGCATGTTGGAAACCATATAGTTGAACGATGGTAGCGCCCTGTCATTGAGTTTGGTGGGACAGTTCAGCGTGGGTCATCTATAAGATTTGTATGTTCTGTCACGTCATAATATTTTATGTTAATGTCACCCCTCCCATGCCTCAGGCATTGACTAAGTTAAGAACGAGACCTACAATTCGTACTTAACAGTGCATTTTTAATGCTCTTTCTATTTGATATCCCCATGAGAAAACGTGCGAATATTTGAGAACACATATTCATTACATTTCTCATGGCTTCACAACTACCCGCATTAAGCACTAATGTTGACAATTAAAGGTCATAGCACACTTATCAACGCGGAAAGGGATCAACACAACACTTTCACCGCGCTGTCAACCGCGAGGCGTTTACGTTACGGTGCGCCTCGGGTTGATACGGTTACGATCCGTTTCAGAGTTGATAAGTGTGCTTGTTCTTTATGGCTAAACTAGGTCTTACTTAAGCTGGCTTCATATCATTGGGTTTAATTGGTTCTATCAAATGAGACATGGTGATGTGTCGCCTGTAACAAAAGAACAAATTAATTTAAATAAATGATGAACAAATAAACAAAAATATAATAGGGATGCTTAATACTCAATCGTTTATTGCATAACCACATTAGCATTCACATTAGGTCTTACAATTTAGGCAGTTATACAATGTGGACCCAGTTAGGGCACAGCAACTTTAGGAAGGAGACAGAACGACGATCTTAATACACATTGAGTTTGGTGGAAATGTCATTATTAAACGTTTATATAATTATAAAATAAATATAGAATTAATGAATTATTAAAATGGAAAAATATTGTTAAAATGTCATGCTAATTATGGATGTTTCCTGGGTAAAAAGCAAGAGTTTGAATTAGTCCATCGCGTAGGTTAAATTATCAAAAAATACTTGTCACGTGTTTTTCACTTTTTCAAACTTAATGAAGATTTTAAAGAGATAAAGAACGCCAAAGTTCAATAGAAGAGGCCCGTGACGTCAGTGCTTAAAAGTGCAGCACTTTGTGACGTCGCGCGGAACTTCAACGCACTGTAATTTTGTAATTAGGTATTTGTTTGATTGACAATTAAAAATATAAATGTCCAATGTTTTTTGATATTAAAATTGACGAACTAAAAATATTTTTTTACGCAACTACCCACTGATCGATCGTTTCATCCACGAAGACACGCCCCACCACTTTTTGGTCGAGGGAAGCGCGGGGTGCGGGGAGTTTGAACTTGGTACTGCTTATGTTCATCAAAAATATTTTAGGGCTCTAATGGCGAAAGAATCCATATATGAATTTATTTTGGACCGATTGGTAAAATTTTAAATCAAGCGAAACCGAAAAATCTGTCAAAAATGATATTGACGAAGGGCATCAGTAAACTAAAAACCACTTTTCACTGAGTTTTGCAGTAAAAGTGGTTTCGACTGATTATGAGTTTTGATTGTAACATAAAGCCTGGTCCGTGAGCACGTAGAATCCCGTCCAATGACCCCAAGCTCGCACACTCACTGCGGGCGCGCGTCGCACAGTCGCGACAGCAATATAATTACGCGCGAGCGATAAGGATGGGTAGCTTGGGATCATTGGACGGGATTCTACGTGCTCACGGACCAGGCTTTAGACATAATAATTATACATAATAATAATGAGATAAAAAACACAAACATATAAATAATAATAAATCTTTGGACACTTTTCACATAATTAATACATACCTCAATCCTCTCTCGCCTCTGAACGACAGACTACACATGTTGCAACTTTTGTAATCTATGCCTTTGCCATCTTTTCCCGCCCCTATCTTGTCTATGGCCGGGTCTTTCTTCTCTATGGCCGAATCTTTCTTCTCTATGGCCGGATCTGTTTTGTTTATGGTCGGAATGGTTCTCTCTGAGTTCTCCGTCTCGCTCTGCGATTTCTTGCTGTCTCTGTTTAGAGAGTTCGTTGACCTCTTATCGGCTGGCTGGATTTTTGGTTTCATTAAGTCTGCAAAATAATTATCTAATATTGATTGAGTCTGCAATTAGTGTCATAGTTCATGAGTGAGTACTATCAAGTATCAACAAACTATACAGGGTGGAAACGATAAGTGATCTCACTCGATTATTTCTAAACTATACAAGATATCGAAAAACTGGATAATGATCCTGAAAGTGCTTCACGAGCTCTTTCAAACGGTATCAGTAATAGGTTACAGAATTAACTGGATCTATCGATTTATATTAGAAGTGTTAATTTTTATATTAAATAAATTATCACATAAAATGAACTCGTAAATTGCATTCTTAATCAAAATTCTTTATCAAAAGAATTATTTATGCAGGCCACTACTAACTGGGCGAGATGGAAATTATTGGGGGAGGCCTATGTTCAGCAGTGGACGTCCTGTGGCTGAAATGATGATGATGATGATTCAATCATTTATACCAATGACCCTTCACTTTATTATCCTGCTACTACAGTGGACTCTAACAACACCCGTTTCCCATATTCAAACCTTGTGAAATCCGGATTTTAACTGTCTAGTTCAGTTTTAGATTAAACTAGCGGCCACCCGCGACTTCGTACGCGTGGATCCCATTTTACTCCCTTAGGGGTGGAGTTTCGTAAAATCCTTTCTTAGCGGATGCATACGTCCGGCAGTTAGAGGTAAGATAGCCAGTTCCTCCGTGGTTGAGGATTCCGGGTGAAGTTGGCTTCCACCTTCGGCCTGATCGTCACTTACCATTAGGTGAGATACAGGTCAAGAGCTTCCTCGTTGTGGATAAAAAAAAATCTACCTGCATGCCAAAATTCAGCCCGATCCGTCCAGTGGTTTGGGCTGTGTGTTGATAGATCACTATGTCAGTCAGTCAGTTACACTTAAACCCTTTAACTGGTACAGAGAAAAATATTTTTAATTAGTTTTGTACCTTATGTTTTCTCAATAAGGTTCAAAATATGGTGGCAACAATTCTGCCACTACCAGGTAAAAAGGTTGAATATTGTTTAAACACCAACCTTTTGCGAGTATGACTACATTAGGCACGCCCATCACGCGATCCGGCGAGTCGCTGTTGGCCCCCGGCTCGGTGGCCCCCCGCTCGGTGGCCCCCAACTCTTTGGCCCCTTCCACCATCCGGCTAAGCGGGAGCGCCTCATCGCTGGATCCGTCTGAATCGCTCCGCTGTTTCGATTGCCGCTTCTTTACACGTTTGCGGAATCTGAAATCGACGTAGAAAAAGGAGTAGGTTTAAAGCCTATATTTCACCGGGACACCATGGCGGCGCAACCAGTCGCCGCTACCAACAAAATGTATACAGCTCTATAGAGAGTTACTCACCTGGTGTCCGGTTTGGTTGCCCAAAGCTGTATACATTTTGTTGGTAGCGGCGACTGGTTGCGCCGCCATGGTGTCCTGGTGAAATATAGCCCTAAGAATAAGCCCAGGCGTAGACCACGGATTTTTTGTCGGCCGATAGTTTAGTCAGGTTTAGGGCAGTTAAGCTTCAACCACACCAACGCGAGTGCTAATGAACCTCACTAGTGAGCGCGTCAAAACATGACATTAAATGTATGATGGATTGTACAGCGCCCCTAGCGGGAAACGTTTAAAAACTACAATTTTCGCGCTCACTAAAGCCCGGTCCGTGAGCACGTAGAATTTTGTCCAATGAACCCTAGCTACCCATCCTTATCGCTCGCGCGTAATTATATTGCTGTCGCGACTGTGCGACTGGCACCCGCAGTGAGTGTGCGAGCGCGATAGCAACATAATTACGCGCGAGCAATAAGGATGGGTAGCTTGGGGTCATTGGACAAAATTCTACGTGCTCACGGACCAGACTATAGATGTAAACAGACTCACACTCAGCCCACTGATCGCCATCGCCGGCGCGATCAAAGGGAAATGACAGGTCGCGCGACCTATGACAGTTCACGCGATTTGTCATTGGCCTTTGATCGCGCTGTGATCGCACCGGCGATGGCGTCTGCACGCGTTGGGGTGGTACAAGCATTAATCAGTATGGGCATGTATGGAAGTGCACACATTGCCGATTGCGTTTAGGCGCGATTCACAACCGGTCCAAACGTAAAAAAATTACAAATTCGCGATTGGTCGAAATTCGCTATTGGGCCAATTCGTTATTGGGCCAATTCGCTATTGGTCCAATTCGTAATTGGACCAATCGCTTTTTTCTGCAATAGGTAAACATTGAATAACCTCCTTATTTTTTCATTTTGGATATCCTTTTATTTTGGACCAATTACGATTTGGACCAATAGTGAATTGGCTAAATAGCGAAATAGACCAATCGTGAATTGGACCAATTGCGCCTAAATGCACCGATTGATTGATTCTAATTAGAATCGGGCCCAACTATCCGCCGACTAAATTCGGTGGTCTGCGCCTATGCTTATAATTTATATCAATTTTCGGCATCACAACGATGATACTAGTTAGGTGGTAATTGTTATTAGATTTTCAAAATCAGTTCAGTAGCTCCAGAGGTATTATAAATAAAGTTTGTAAGGATGGATGGATGTTTGTTACTCTCACGCAAGAACTACTGAACAGATTTTGATGTAACTTTACAGTATTATTGTTCAAACATTAGAATAACATATAGGCTAAAATTTCTAACAATCTGGGACGAAAAAAAGCTAGTTAAGCTTACCGTTTTCTTGGTCTCTTGTATACAACCACCGGTTTCTTAGGTTTCTCCTCATTATTGTTGATGTTTACGAACTTGGCAGTCGGTTTCTCAGCTTCAGTGCTACTTGATATGCTGGTCTTGTCGCACGCAAACAGATCGGTTTCGTTGCTCAGTTCATTGCTGTCAATTTGCTCGCTGATCAAAAATAAAGTAGTTGTTAATTTTCTTTTTAACTGTCTGAAAGTTTGTATTTGCAGCACACTGATGTCTAGGGCAAACTTTAATTTAAAGTTGAAATAGCTAAAATACTTTAGAACAAATTGATAAGGGGATTGCTGCCATGTACTATCGGCAACAGTGTTAACTGCCCATTGCCAGTCATCGCAAATAATCACCATTTGATGAGAACAAGAGCAAAAATGGAAAGGGATAGTTAACACTGTGGCCGTGTGTACCTTACTTACGAATGCTAAAATAATTATTGTGAAATCAATAAATACTTAATCAATGGAAAAATCTCAATCAAAAATAGCCAACATTAAAACAAGACAAAAAAAAATTTTTCCTTTTTTAATATGTTAAAATTCCAATGTTAATCTTCTTAAAAATTTAATAAGCACTTAAAATTCAACTTCTACAGCATTATCTTAAAGCAAATGCAAATTTAAATGATCATTTAAAGTTACTTCAGCGAGTTGATGCCAGTGGCCTTGAAAATGTGCTGTTGCAAAAGATCAAAATGGTTCAAGGATTAATTTTACTTTTAAATTACAAACCAGCCGAATTACAATAAGTAAAAGACTTACCTGTGGTCGGAGCCATCACTCTGCGCTGCCGTTTCAAGCTGCTTTATTTGAAATGTTATGTTTATTCTTTTATAAATCTCTTCAGTGATATTTCGACATTTTTCATACTTAGAATCAATTGTTTCCTTCACTGACCACACTGCCTGCTGATTCTGAACAGACATTTTCATGTAGGATTCTTATTGGACCACCAGAATTTCATTTATAGCCAGTAAACATCGATTTGTTTGGGAAACATTGAGTATGCTCGCCATTTCAACACCACTCCAAATACACAGATTTCGAAACAACAATAATGGTTTCAAACTGGTTTTCAGGAACCTCCCGAGGCTAGATCGTAATGTTAGCACTAAATTGGAAGTTTAGCTGAGTGTTCCACCCGGAACGGCCGCCCGAATCTCAAGAAAACAACACCTCGGGAACAAAGAGTCGTCAAATGTATATTTTATGGCACAATAAAAGTCATTGCATAGCAGATTGCGAGCGGGATATATTACAGGACTAGACAATACTACGGTTCCAGCACACACTTATTAATTATAACATTAATTAAAACTAATAACAATAAAAACAAATTAAAACTACTGTCGCCGATGCGGCTTTTTTTTGTTTTTTGACGTTTCTAATTTAGTGTTGCTCAGTGTTGNGTTTTCGGGTAAAGGTGACACAGCAACATTTTGGAACGGATATTGATAATCCGTGGTCTGTCATCCAGTTATTCAGGTACTCCAAAGCTGTATTTAAATGAGAGCTTGCTTCGGGAATAGAGTTGGAGGAATAATACAGGGCAATGTCGTCCGCGTACTGCAGAATGCTGCAAAAAGAATCCACTGTCCTGTTGAGGTCATATGTATATATGTTATAAAGCAGGGGACTAAGCACAGAGCCTTGCGGGAGGCCTTTCCAGATTAAACGAGGAACAATGGAATCTTGGAATCTCACTGCAATTGACCTAGACATCAATGAATTACAGATGAGACGCACCAGTTTCTCCGGGATACTCAGATGAAGCAGTTTTTGCCTGAGTAATGGGAGCAAAACATTGTCGTACGCAGAGGCAATGTCCAGAAAAACCCCAACGAGATATTCTTTATTTTTAAAGGCTACTCGGATATCTGTTGTCAATATACTTAAACTATCAAGAGTGCTTAAGCCTTTGCGAAAACCAAATTGGGATAAGGGAAGGATATGGTTGGATTCTAAATGCCATTCAAGACGATTTCTAATCATGTGTTCTACTATTTTAAGAAGGACGGAAGAAAGAGCTATAGGGCGGTAAGAATTGTGATCTGAAGGATCTTTTCCCGGTTTGGGAATTGGAATGACAATCTGTTGTTTCCAAGCTTCCGGAAGAGAACCTTGATCTAAAAACGAGTTAATAATTTTGAGGAAGTACGACTTAGCTCTTTCTGGGGATTTAATTATAAAGGAGTAAGGGACACCATCAATCCCTGGCGATGAATCCTTTAAACCGTCCAAGGCTGACAAAAGCTCTTCAAAGGAAAAGGGCCTATCTAAATAATTGACATGGGGAAGGAAATTACTGGGGGATGGGAAACTATCTATAAATGGGACAAAGGGAGGAGCCAATTTATCAGCGAAATCATTAAGCCAAGTAGAAGGATCGTTTGATGGAGAATTTAATGGGATTAAAGACGTACGGTAACGTTTAATTTGCTTCCATACTATAGAGGAAGGGGTCCTTGGGGACATGCTCTCACAGAACCCAATCCACCCTTTTCTCTTCTTTTTGGCTAAGAATTTCCTGGTTTGGGCAGCCGTTTTTTGATAACAAATGTAGTTCTCCATGGTCATTGACCGGTTGTACCTTTTTTCAGCTTCTTTTCGTTTTTTGACAATGGCAGTACACTCAGCGTCCCACCAAGGGGGTGATATCTTATAGGAAGGGTTTTTTAAAGGGATGTGTTCTTCTGCTGATGATTGTAGGATGTTAACAAAGTCAGGGTAGATAGAAAGGGCATTTTCATTAGAAACGTTGGGAAGATCTTTTAATTTTTCGTTAACTGACCCATAAAAAGCTAGCCAGTCAGCTTTATTTAATTTGAATTTTAGAAGAGGGGGGAGGCGGTTAGTTGGAGTATTATTATCAAGTAACGAAATTAAAATAGGATAGTGATCGCTCCCGAACGTGCTATTAAGGACGCTCCACGAGAGAAGCGAGGATAAATTTGGAGAGCAAAGAGAAACATCAACGGCAGAAGCAGGATTTTGAGTAGGAGCACACCTTCTGGTTGGACAGCCATTGTTCAAAATACATAGATCTAACTCATCCAAAAGGTCCAAGAGTAATGATCCAGAAGAGTCGGAGTGATAAGAGCCCCATGAGACATGGTGAGCATTAAGGTCGCCCATAATGAGGACTGGAGGAGGAAGGGATAAAATGGCAGAGCGTAATTCATTAATGGAGGAAGAGTTAGGACGGGGGATATAAACAGATAGGAAGGATATGTCAAAAACTCGCACGGCCACGACATTAATGTCCTGACTATGCGAGGGGAGGGGAAGTTGACTATAGCGGAGAAAGCGCCTTACAAGTAAGGCACTTCCCGCGTAACCATCACTTCTATCATCCCGGAGGCATGCGTAGCCAGACACACGGAAGTGTGATCCAGGTACGAGCCATGTCTCCGAGACGGCTAGAACAGATGGGGAGTATTTGTTTATTAAAAAGGTTAATTCATGCTTTTTGCGTCTAATGCTTTGGCAGTTCCATTGAACTACCTTTTTGTCCATTATTAATATCGGTTATTTGTGAGATTTGGGAAAGCATTTGTGCAACGTTGGACGGTAGGGCGATTTTACGACTGGAAATAATACTGATGATGAGGGAGAGGACCATCTCCAGGAGGCCCTCATCACCAGGGGAAGAGGAAGGGGAAGATCCACTATTCAGAGCGCAACCATTAGGAAGGGAAGAAGCACAATTGCCAATAATGGCTTGGTGTGCCTGCTTGTCATAACCCTTATCTAACGGCGCGTGAGAGCGGGGAGTGCGAGGGATGGACTTTCTGTAAGAGATGGTTTGGCTTGAGGATGGAGAGAGGGGCTGGGATAGTTGGAAAGTGGGGCTGATGCTTTGTGAGGACGGAGATTTAGTGGCATCTGCGTAGGACTTGCGGACTGGTTGGAATTGGGAGGAGGCCTCAGAGTAAGAAATATTGTCCTGAGACATAGTTATTTTAATTGCCTTTTGGCGGGAATGCTCTGGACAGGACTTGTTGACCGCAAAATGTGGGCCTAAGCAATTGACACAAGTTGCTTTACCTTCCGAGACGTCGCATTCTTCTGCTGGGTGGGGTTGGGTGCACCGATAGCATCTGGGTTTCGACCTACATTGTGCCTTAACATGGCCAAATCGGCAACAGTTGAGGCATTGAATTGTTGGAAGCTGGTACGTCTCAACTGGAATCGAATTGTGGCAACAGAAGATTCTTTGAGGAAGAACTTGACCCTTGAAAGTCACCACAACAGTTTGTGTGGGGACCCAGGATGACTGACCGTCTCTAACCTGCTTCCTGTTGAGGCGGCGGGCCTTCAAAAGAATGCCGCAACCGTCTGGTGTTGTCAAAGTTTCTGCGAGCTCCTCCATGGTCCAGTCAGTGGGGATGTTCCTGATGAGACCCATGCGGGTCACGTTATAAGTCGGTATCGAGGCAACGTATTTGTACAATGGAAGAATTTCGTTATTCAGGAAATTATTAGCTGCGCTGGGTGAAACAAATTCGACTGAAATTCTGTTTCTTCCGATTTTTTTAACTCCGTCCAAAACTATACCCTGGATTCTGTTGGTAACCAGAAACTTACCAAATCTCATTGGTTGGATGAATACGGGGGAAGAGGGATCAGTTTCCATATGAGACACGTGAACTAGGAACGGGCCTTTGTCTTGGTCACTATATGTTTTGGGGGCAATGACTAGCGAGGGGTGAGTGTACACCTGTTGATTGATTTGAGGTAAGGAACCATCGGTGTTGGTTCTTTTAGCTGGCTCGGAATCGCCTGTCGTGTCAAGACGGCGTTTGGTAGCCGATTGTGAAAATAATGGCTGGGATAATTCCATTGGGGCGGCCTGGTCTGGGGGATCAGGCGGGTCGGGAGGTATGACATCCATGTTAATTTACTTTACTTACCAAAAATACACGAAAGTTAATATACCACCACCTTAGTTTTATTAATAAATAAGCTTAGAATAAGATTCCTGTAGAAAACCACACTAAAATTTTCAAAATAAACGAAAATATCCGACACACGTGTAGCCACTGACACTCGCGAGACGGAATCCTCTTGCTATAGATGACCCACGCTGAACTGTCCCACCAAACTCAATGACAGGGGGGCGCTACCATCGTTCAACTATATGGTTTCCAACATGGCAAAAATCTGAACCAGCGATCCGGTATTGACAGTGGCGCCCCACTGTCAATGTCATCGACAGGACAGTCCAGTATTTTGGAACATTAATTGCCCAATATTTCACATTGAAAAGTACTTATTTCCATAGACAAAACACTTTCCCGCAAATTGTGAGGCACGTGAGCGTGACATTTTATTTAAGGAGAAGTCATAGTATTTTTCCGGTTTTCATATGTTTATTGCAAAGTTGCGTTAGAATCATTAATTTGCATGTTTGTGTTTCATTAATTAATCATTGTTTTGACTCATAAGCATGTACTCAAGAAGCCTCAAACATACTCTTCAACTTATTCATTCGGGTTTCGAGATTTTTGGACGAATCAAAAAAAAAATATTTCCCGCTATTTTTTGACAGCACTTTTGTTTTGACGTTTGATAGCGGCTGGTGGGCTGTTGTTCTGCTGTTGTGTGAACGAAATTTTCAATAAAATCTAGGTTTTCGTATTAAATCAGCAATGTGAAAGCTCATAAAATAAGTCTTTCAACTCTGTTGAGACTAAATGTGGGATTAATTTGTGTTTGCATATAATTTTTCTTTTTAAAATGGCCAAGAAAGCTAGTGTAGATAAGAAACTGTTAGCTAAATTGGTGACAGAAACTGCAGATAGAAAGCCGTGTGCCTTTTGCCAGCGAGAAATTGATGACGAGATCACATACGGAAAGTTGTATTCAATTGGGAACATTCAGTGTCACTACTTTTGTGTGGTAAGTAATTTTCACCAAATGGTGCCCTTTTTAAAATAGTCCACGCATTTCTACCTATATTACATACTTTAATAAAGTAATGTAAGTAGATATCTGGTTAAATGGATGGGTGAAACCATATTCTAGTCTTTTTTATCTGGAATTTGCTTAATAACTTCTTGAAAAGTACCAGCTCCTGGTTTGATTATCAGTGGGTCCCTGGGACCTGTCAGTTAAATAAATGTCCAATAAAATATATGAATTCTATGTCTAAAAGGAAAAGTAATTAAACAGAATGGAGCTAGGTGAAGAATTGGGTATTTGCCACCACTCCCCTATAATTCTAAAGCACAACTTATTTAAAAAGGCACTTCATTGTGGTCTAAAAAACGTAATTTAATTTAATATTAGCCGTAAATTAAAATTATTGGTTGCATTGTAATTGTAAAAAGTAGTTTTAAATTCTTGAAAAACTTTCATTACAATAAACTTTAATATGACTTTTATTCCAGTTGCTGTCGTGTTGCTTGATTCAGAAAGGGAAAGATGAACAAGGTCTCTTCGGTTTCCTGTATCCAGACATCTTGGCTGAGGTTGAAAGGAGCAAGAAGCACGTAAGCTAATATTTCGACCCAGTACAGACGGTGAAACACAACTGCAACGAAACTGCAACTGCTAGTTACTTTTGAGTTGCATCTAAGTTTCTTCCATAGCGTCCATTGAGAGATTGACATGACGCGACGAGTTTGAAACTTTCAGTATCAGTTTCATTCATCAGAATCATCACAAAGTTGCAGTTTCGTTGCAGTTGCGTTTCACCGTCTGTTCTGGTTCTTTTCATCATTCTGTTACTATACTGGGTACAAAGACTCCTGGCAGGCGGTGTAATGATGAAACAGGGCATATCACGTTTGCACTCACAGGGTTATGGGTAACGTAATACAGCGGAAGTCATAGTGTTTTTTTTTTAAATAAAGCAAGGCGTTTGTGGAGGATTTATAATACATTTTTTTTTATCTGTCTGACATACTAAATAGAATTTCGATTTCATTACCCAGTCATCATCCCTATTGACTGTATATTTTTGGTGTCTCCAGCGATGTTCGTATTGCGGCCGCGGCGGCGCCACGCTCGGCTGCTGCGTGAGCCAGTGTCGCAAACAGTTCCACCTGCCGTGTGGTCGCGAGAGGAATGCTGTGTCGCTGTTCTTTGGGAACTTCAAGTGAGTGCCATTATATTGCTCGTTAATAATAAATGTACTACGTACAGACCCCCAAGGAAAACGCAAACGTGATCTCCCCAAGCTTGGCGGCGCACTGTAGCAGATGAGGCGAAGATCGGCAAGACTTGGAGCGAGATCAAACGCGAAGCTCAAGACCGATCGCTAAGGACTGTTGTGGACGCCCTCTGCATCTAGTGGACATAAGACATTAATGCCTGTTTTCACCATCAATCCCTAATTTTTAAGTGACCTATGGTAAAACATAGCAGGAATTTTGTTTTGATAGAGCTCACTTCAAAATTAGGAATAGATGGTGAAAACGGGCATGAGTCAACTTACTTGAATTAAGTCATTAAGTACAGAAAGATTTCTTCGCGAAAGTATTAAAAAAAGTCAACTCGATGTCGTCAACGATATGGTGTAATTTAGCTTGTCACAGCGTCGAGCACCGTTTCGTTCACATACGTCAGCGATCGGTATAGATGACCCACGCTGAACTGTCCCACCAAACTCAATGACAGGGGGACGCTACCATCGTTCAAGTATATGGTTTCCAATATGGCAAAAATCTGCTGCCCCGCTGTCAATGTCATGGATAGGACAGTTCAGTATTTTGGAACTAGGACTGTGCCGATGCGATAATGCTGACAGCTACAAGAAACTACTGTGTCGCCATCTAGCGCACCACTCGCGTATTTTTTCTTCATTCCATACTTAGCGAATATTGTTTTTCAATGGGACAAGAATACGCGCGCGTACGTCACTCACTACTCGCTCGTGAATCCCTTGTGGATTAAACTCGCCTTTGTTTTCGATGCCTACTCGGGGACATAAACAGGCCTGCTTGGTGTAGTCACTACACTACACTAGTGTATGTGGTGTGGTAGTGTATGTAAGCCGCGGCGGCGCCACGCTCGGCTGCTGCGTGAGCCAGTATCGCAAGCAGTTCCATCTACCGTGTGGTCGCGAGAGGAATGCTGTGTCGCTGTTCTTTGGGAACTTCAAGTGAGTGCCATTATGTTTCAGCCAATAGACGTCCACTGCTGGACAACACCGAGGCACTGCAGATGAACACAGTGTTGCAGGAAATAAGATCCACTGCAGAAAACTGCCAAGAACGGCTGGCCATACACCCCAATTAGCTGGCTTCGGAACTGCTCCAAAAAAGCTATAGCAAACGCCTCAAGAGGCATGACATCCTGAGTCTGCACTGGAGAGTGTAGAAATACATCATAAAGAAGTAGTCTTCTCAATGGAGAAGACACTTATCATGCAAATAAATTTATATTAACCGGCAGACAGTGGTGACTGAGTTTGTTGCGGCGCTTCTTCTCAGCACTTGCCAAATGTTGGTCTCGAAGCGCTGGTAAGGTAAAAAGATTATGAGACATGTAGAGGCTCCTTAAGAGCAAAATGACGATTTGTAAGAACTATTTATTAGTTTTGACTTTGACTTTGAAAAGGGCACTACAACTCATCCGCTCATAGACTGATTGCAGATGAAGCACAGAAGAAAAAAAAAACCTGCTGGACAACGGCGTCCCCAAAAGATTTCCATTAAGAGTGGTCCTGCGCTGCCCGCATCCTTCTTCCTGCCTGCTCATGCTTCGTCTTCCGGCTCGTGGTTGCCAATCGAGAACTTTTTATATTGCTCAAGAATAATAATTGTACATACATACAGGAAATTTTCTTCACGAAGGCATTTAAAAAAATTACTACCTTCTCAATGTCATGTAATGTAATTTAGCGAGCTTCAGAGTCGAGCACCGTTTCGTCGAGCGATAAAGAGTAGCTAGGGGTCATTGTACGAAATTCTATCTGCTCGGCGACAGGACTTTAGTGGTATAGTCTGGTCTGTGAGCACGTAGAATTTTGTCCAATGACCCCAAGCTATCCATCCTTATCGTTCGCGCGTAATTATATTGCTATCGCGCTCGCACACTCACTGCGGGCGCCCGTCGCACAGTCGCGACAGCAATATAATTACGCGCGAGCGATAAGGATGGGTAGCTAGGGGTCATTGTACGAAATTCTATCTGCTCGGCGACCGGAACTCCAGATACATTTTTGTCAACAGGTCGTATTGTGCGGTCCACGCGCCCAAACAAAAGATCGCTGATGATGTGATGGCCAAAGCGAGGGTTCGAATGAGAGCAGACAAAAACAAATCCAAAGGCCTCGTCACTAAGGTCGAAAATTTGGAACCAGAGGGTAAGTTTGCAACTTTTAAATGTTACTTTTAGGGTTTCGTACCGAAACCGTACCTGAGTTTCTTCCGCCACTTCTTCTCAGCACGAGCCCATATATTGTCCCGAAGTGGTGGTGACAGTTTTTTTTTTTGGATAGCTGCCAAAGCCACGTTGACCCAAAGTTCATGATTCACCAGCATTCTAACCTATATTGGGAGCACACGCTGACAAACTTTCAGCTTTTATAAAATGACGTAGGTCTGGCGTTCACTAGCTCTTAGTCTTAACTAAATGGACATCACACAAATACAGGCAATTACGAGTACATAGACATGACAGTGGCATATAATAACGGAAGAAAAAATAAAAACGAGTAGACTGAGCAGTGCCACCCATTCACAAACAAGATGCCCACTGCAACGTTTATGAAGTCGCGGGCGGCCGCTAGTGTGCAATAAAAATGTCTATAGTCTGGTCCGTGAGCACGTAGAATTTTGTCCAATGACCCCAAGCTACCCATCCTTATCACTCGCCCGTAACTATGTTGCTATCGCGCTCGCACACTCACTGCGGGTGCCAGTCGCACAGTCGTGACAGCAATATAATTACGCGCGACGCGAGCGATAAGGATGGGTAGCTAGGGGTCATTGGACATAATTCTGCGTGCTCACGAACCGGGCTTTAATATACCTTTTCAAAAAAGTTTCATTATAATTACTAAAAGTCTAGTTCAGCCTAGATGCAGACCACCTATTTTTAGTCGGCCGATAGTTGGGTCCGATTCTAATTTGTATGACGAATCGGCCGATACCAAATCAGTGTAATGTGCGCACTTTCATACATGCCCATACTGATTAACAGCACGACCCAACTATCGGCCAGTTGCAAGTCGGTGGTCTGCGCCTAGGTTAACCCCTTCTATACTATACTAATGTTATAAATGCGAAAGTAACTCTGTCTGTTTTGTCTGTTTGTCTGTCTCTCTTGCTTTCACGCCTAAACCACTGAACCGATTTTGATGAAATTTGGCATAGAGATAGTTTGAGTCCCGGGAAAGGACATATTATAGTTTTTATCCCGGTTTTTGAAACAGATACGCACGTGATAATGTTTTTCTGTGACAAACAAAATTCCACGCGGGCGAAGCCGCGGGCGGAAAGCTAGTATTACAATATGCTTGTGTTACGAGACTTACGAGTAAAAGCTAGTATAGTCTGGTCTGTGAGCACGTAGAATTTTGTCCAATGACCCCTAGCTACCCATCCTTATCGCTCGCGCGTAATTAGAGGTTGCAATCGAATATTCGAATATTCGAATATTCGAATTTTAAATTTCAAATTAATATTCGAATAGTAAATTAACATGTATTCGAATATTCGAATATTACAAAAATAAATAGAAAAGATAGAAAGAAGACAACTTAGTGTTTGCAAATGCGGTCGGAGGCATCAAATACATATCACCAACTAAAAGAACTAGTCATTGTTGCTTCCGAATGCATTTATGAACACTAAGTTGTCTTGTTTCTATCTTTTCTGTTCATTTTTACGCAGTTGAGTTTTCTTTGTTTGTTTTTTCAATCATAAAGTTATAATAAGATACGCCACTCTTGTGGCGGAGTTTTGGGCTGACACTGTGTAGGTTTGTTGTCGACACGAAAAGAAGAAGATAATAAGATCATATTTTTATTATTCGCAACTTTGATACTAATAGTATAAAAGAGGCGATAGAGCGAAACCACGGTTCCAAATAATTTGAAAGAGACAACTCTATTGAGCAAAGTCAGCTGACTGATGCTGAAGACGGCGGTCGGTAACGTCAACAAAAGCCGATGTTCTAGGTGAGATCGAAAAGATTTATGGACAGCTATATACCTCCAAACCTGTTAATAGTTCAGCAACAGACGCAAGAGCTAGGTTAACGCGACACTATACCAAATACAACCCGTATATCAGCCTACACGAGATTATTAAGGCTCTCAAACAGCTAAAGAACAACAAGGCACCAGGTGATGACAGAATAACCTCGGAGCTTCTGGACGCAGGTGGAACACCGAAACTCGTTCAGAGACTCTTTAACTCCGTCTTACTCCAGGGCAAAACGCCAGAGGCATGGGATAGAAGCGTGGTGGTGCTCTTTTTAGACTATGAGACGGCCTTTGATTCGATCGAGACTTAAGCAGTGCTACAGTCTCTCCGACTATCGGTATATCGAGGTGCTGAAATGCCTGTACAGAAACGCTACCATGTCGGTCCGAGTACAGGAGTAAAGCACGAGGATGATACCTCTGCGGCGAGGCGTGAGGTAGGGAGATGTTATATCTCCGAAACCGTTGACCGCTGCATTGGAAGACGCTTTCAAGCTCCTTGAATGGAAAGGATTCGGCATAATTACCTTTCAATATCGAATACAATACTCAGCTTCGGTTTGCTGACGATATTGTGGTCATGGCAGAATCGCTTGAAGACCTCGGCACAATCTCAATGAAGACCTTAATCGAGTCTCTCAACAGGCAGGCCTTTGGATGAACGTGGACAAAACGAAGCTTAGGTCCAACGTCCATGTTTCGGTTGGAGCTCGATTCGATCGAGACTGTTGACAAGTATGTCTTCCTCTGACAAACGATTCGACTAGGTAGATTAAATTTCGAAAAAAAGGTAAATCGTCGAATCCAACTCGGCTGAGCAGCGTTCGGGAAACTATACAACATCTTTTCGTCCAAAATACCTCAGTGCCTAAAGACGAAATTCTTCAATCAGTGTGTGTTACCTCTACCAGTGATGGCACACGGCTCTGAAACGTGGCTTTTTACAATAGGCCTTATAAATAAGCTCAAAANGGATCGTTTGATGGAGAATTTAATGGGATTAAAGACGTACGGTAACGTTTAATTTGCTTCCATACTATAGAGGAAGGGGTCCTTGGGGACATGCTCTCACAGAACCCAATCCACCCTTTTCTCTTCTTTTTGGCTAAGAATTTCCTGGTTTGGGCAGCCGTTTTTTGATAACAAATGTAGTTCTCCATGGTCATTGACCGGTTGTACCTTTTTTCAGCTTCTTTTCGTTTTTTGACAATGGCAGTACACTCAGCGTCCCACCAAGGGGGTGATATCTTATAGGAAGGGTTTTTTAAAGGGATGTGTTCTTCTGCTGATGATTGTAGGATGTTAACAAAGTCAGGGTAGATAGAAAGGGCATTTTCATTAGAAACGTTGGGAAGATCTTTTAATTTTTCGTTAACTGACCCATAAAAAGCTAGCCAGTCAGCTTTATTTAATTTGAATTTTAGAAGAGGGGGGAGGCGGTTAGTTGGAGTATTATTATCAAGTAACGAAATTAAAATAGGATAGTGATCGCTCCCGAACGTGCTATTAAGGACGCTCCACGAGAGAAGCGAGGATAAATTTGGAGAGCAAAGAGAAACATCAACGGCAGAAGCAGGATTTTGAGTAGGAGCACACCTTCTGGTTGGACAGCCATTGTTCAAAATACATAGATCTAACTCATCCAAAAGGTCCAAGAGTAATGATCCAGAAGAGTCGGAGTGATAAGAGCCCCATGAGACATGGTGAGCATTAAGGTCGCCCATAATGAGGACTGGAGGAGGAAGGGATAAAATGGCAGAGCGTAATTCATTAATGGAGGAAGAGTTAGGACGGGGGATATAAACAGATAGGAAGGATATGTCAAAAACTCGCACGGCCACGACATTAATGTCCTGACTATGCGAGGGGAGGGGAAGTTGACTATAGCGGAGAAAGCGCCTTACAAGTAAGGCACTTCCCGCGTAACCATCACTTCTATCATCCCGGAGGCATGCGTAGCCAGACACACGGAAGTGTGATCCAGGTACGAGCCATGTCTCCGAGACGGCTAGAACAGATGGGGAGTATTTGTTTATTAAAAAGGTTAATTCATGCTTTTTGCGTCTAATGCTTTGGCAGTTCCATTGAACTACCTTTTTGTCCATTATTAATATCGGTTATTTGTGAGATTTGGGAAAGCATTTGTGCAACGTTGGACGGTAGGGCGATTTTACGACTGGAAATAATACTGATGATGAGGGAGAGGACCATCTCCAGGAGGCCCTCATCACCAGGGGAAGAGGAAGGGGAAGATCCACTATTCAGAGCGCAACCATTAGGAAGGGAAGAAGCACAATTGCCAATAATGGCTTGGTGTGCCTGCTTGTCATAACCCTTATCTAACGGCGCGTGAGAGCGGGGAGTGCGAGGGATGGACTTTCTGTAAGAGATGGTTTGGCTTGAGGATGGAGAGAGGGGTTGGGATAGTTGGAAAGTGGGGCTGATGCTTTGTGAGGACGGAGATTTAGTGGCATCTGCGTAGGACTTGCGGACTGGTTGGAATTGGGAGGAGGCCTCAGAGTAAGAAATATTGTCCTGAGACATAGTTATTTTAATTGCCTTTTGGCGGGAATGCTCTGGACAGGACTTGTTGACCGCAAAATGTGGGCCTAAGCAATTGACACAAGTTGCTTTACCTTCCGAGACGTCGCATTCTTCTGCTGGGTGGGGTTGGGTGCACCGATAGCATCTGGGTTTCGACCTACATTGTGCCTTAACATGGCCAAATCGGCAACAGTTGAGGCATTGAATTGTTGGAAGCTGGTACGTCTCAACTGGAATCGAATTGTGGCAACAGAAGATTCTTTGAGGAAGAACTTGACCCTTGAAAGTCACCACAACAGTTTGTGTGGGGACCCAGGATGACTGACCGTCTCTAACCTGCTTCCTGTTGAGGCGGCGGGCCTTCAAAAGAATGCCGCAACCGTCTGGTGTTGTCAAAGTTTCTGCGAGCTCCTCCATGGTCCAGTCAGTGGGGATGTTCCTGATGAGACCCATGCGGGTCACGTTATAAGTCGGTATCGAGGCAACGTATTTGTACAATGGAAGAATTTCGTTATTCAGGAAATTATTAGCTGCGCTGGGTGAAACAAATTCGACTGAAATTCTGTTTCTTCCGATTTTTTTAACTCCGTCCAAAACTATACCCTGGATTCTGTTGGTAACCAGAAACTTACCAAATCTCATTGGTTGGATGAATACGGGGGAAGAGGGATCAGTTTCCATATGAGACACGTGGACTAGGAACGGGCCTTTGTCTTGGTCACTATATGTTTTGGGGGCAATGACTAGCGAGGGGTGAGTGTACACCTGTTGATTGATTTGAGGTAAGGAACCATCGGTGTTGGTTCTTTTAGCTGGCTCGGAATCGCCTGTCGTGTCAAGACGGCGTTTGGTAGCCGATTGTGAAAATAATGGCTGGGATAATTCCATTGGGGCGGCCTGGTCTGGGGGATCAGGCGGGTCGGGAGGTATGACATCCATGTTAATTTACTTTACTTACCAAAAATACACGAAAGTTAATATACCACCACCTTAGTTTTATTAATAAATAAGCTTAGAATAAGATTCCTGTAGAAAACCACACTAAAATTTTCAAAATAAACGAAAATATCCGACACACGTGTAGCCACTGACACTCGCGAGACGGAAAAAAAACGTAAACAAAACACAACGGATGAAAGCACACTTTGACATTTGTGACAGTTGCAGACGTAATAGTGATGTGTACAATCCAAGCAGTGTCTGAAGAATGTCCCAGGATTCCGTGGAGGGTAGTTGAACGGGAAGCATGGTCGATCTGTTTTAATGGTTTCAATTTATTATTTAATGGACTTTAGTGTACAAATTTGGTGTTATTTTGTGTTCTAAAGTGCAGTGAAGTGATAAATTATAAAAAACAAGTAAGTTATAAGTTTTTAAGTAATTTTAAGTTAATGTTATAAAATTTATTATCTTAATGTTTACTAAATAAAAAAAAAAAACATTGAAATACTTCGAATTTGAGCGCGCATCGAGTGTCGAGTGGGTTGTCGTATGAACAACCCGCTTTGGACCCGGTGGCGTCTCGAAACCTGCTTACGGGCATACTTAACCCCACGGAATCCATGAAAAATCAATAGAACTGAAACACCCACGTTCTATTGATAACTATGTCAATATTTTTCACTCGACATTGGCAGAAATAAACCTCCCAGAGAGGTTTAATTGCCACAAATAAAAAAAAAAAAAAAAAGAATGTCCCAGTTAAATTTTATTTACAACTTATCAATGTCATATTCATCAACTATGTAGATGATTAAAATTAGTGGAAAGTGAGCATATTACGTGTTACAACACACTGTGGATAATAAATCATGAAATCAATAATTTTACTATTCATTTTTTTAAAGGCTTGCTTGATACTGTTTGTCCCTGGGCAGCTGTCGCGTATGTTATGGTTATATTGTTATTTTAAATAAATGACACTATGATATTGAATTGGCAATAATTTAAATTGATAAGAAGAACTGGGACACTATAATTTTCTAGCGGGACAGCCTATTTAAAATATTATGGTTGGGCATCACTAGCTTTTTTTCTTCTAACTATGCATGGTTAAGCAATGATATTAAAAACTATACAGCCTCTTCCTTTTTTTAATATCGGAGAAAAATTTACATGATAGATGATATTTAAAACTAAAAGAAACCGCGAAGTTTAAAACAAACCACATGCATGACTATAAACTAAGGTGCTCCCTCGTCTAGCAATTAGCAAAATGTTCATCACACATTCGTAAATGCATTTGCAGCTTGCAGGTAGTATTTATGATCCAGGTGCGAGAGCACCTTTTTTCTATCTACTGTTTCTAAAACTGCAAATAAAACCCAAGAATACGTTTGAAATTACGTTTATTTACACACTGATGTTAAGATTTAATTTGTTTGTACAGAGGTAATTATTGTGAGTCTTTTAAATAAGTATCGCAGAATAAACAGTAAGGTTTATGTTCTAATAATTCCATTCTAGCAACTGCGTTACAATTATGACATGAAAGGTAGTCTATACTTTCTATTGGTGTGAATGTAAACATACAAAACATATTCAAGTGTCCGTTTTTGCATGAAAAGTCAATAATCTCTTCATCACAATTTTGGCAAGTGTAGCAGTAATTTTGAGTAGCTACATCTGAGATACCGCCTGGCATGATTTTGTTCATTGGTACCTTGTACTTCTTGCTGTAATAATTTAAATACTTTTTAGATCCTGCATAACTTTCCTTTTCTAAATCACTCAAGTCATTCTTGGACTGTTTATTAGATATTTTAGCAATATTTGATTTGGCATTCATCGCTAATATCTTATCTTTAACCACCTCTGTTGAATTTTCTGGTAAGGGGTGTTGCACTATTTTGATACTGGTTTGCAAACTTTTATAAATTGTCAAAATTACTAGATAGACTTTCAATTTATAAATGTCAGAGTCCCCCTGTGATAATAAACTATCATAGTCTATCTGGGGCAAACTTTTTGTTTTCACTATTTTGTAACGTATCAGTTCAATACAGTCCCAGTAATTTGTGATTTGTTTCGTGGGATTGTTCAATAAGATATCCACCTCTGCATTGTCAGGTAAAACTTGCAGGAAGATGATTTCTGCTTTCAAACGTTCCTTTCTGTGCAGAATTTTGCGATCAATCACAGCTAAGGCACATAAGACATTATTATCTGAAAAATTCACACTGCACAATTCACATGTTGGACTGAGCTCTTTAAATTCAACCATATCATGGTTATAAATTTTTAATGTATTGCCTTTTATGCTATAATTGATTTTATAGCATCTTAAATTCACTGTACTGACATAAACTTCATTATCTCTCGTTATTATATGCGATATTAGATAATCGTTGATGTAGCTTATTTCTTGTGATACATTCTTTGAGTTCTCATCAAGTAGCTGTAGAACCAAATGTCTGTATTTGTTAAATATAAGTAACAACTTATTTTCAACTTTTTCGTATTGTATGTGTTGCACAAGCATTTTATCCGAATGGTTCCATAGCATGAGAGTGTTTTTCAAAACCAAACTTTCTCCATTAATTTGGCATTCAAAGCATGCAACTAGCCCAAATAAATTTGTGGCAACAAGTAAGAAATGTGCCTCCGATTTAGGTATCCATAATAAAGATACAGTCTCACCTAAATCTGTATCAATTTTCCCAAAAAATCTTGTTGTGGTGCTCTTGTTTGTGCTTTCAACCACCCAAAATAAAATTGTGCCATTTTTTTGTCCAGTAACAAAATACGACTTTCCTTCTTTGCAAGTAGGTGGCCAACAAATGGAGCTGGACTCTAAGCTGTATGCAGCCTCTTTTAATTCTTTAAAATCATTTTGTGCACTATTCAAATTAACGTGATCATGTACCAAGTCTGTCAGGCTTATTACATTTATCCACATGTTCCTTGAACTTCTGAATAGCTCAACACCACCAATGTTATTAAGAACAGCTAAAATGCATTCGTTATTTCCTAGTAGTTCTCTTGGGGACCATTGAAAAGTAACAACCGTGCTCATTTCTTTGACAAGATACTCACTATGTGGCCATAATGCTGTATCTGTAATCATTTCCGCCAATTCTCTGTTCTTCAGTCGAGTACCGATTGCTTTTTTCGTTAATAATGTCGAACTGGGACTGGATGTAGGAGTTTTGAGAAAACTTTCATTGAAGTCGAGTCGTTTGTCCAGACAGTTGAGATTTCCCGAAAATTCATAAAAATGAATACCACTATCAATACGAGCTCCGAGGTGAGAGCTGCACCATGCTAATGAAATGTCTTCGATTCTGTTTATAAATATAGAACTTCTGGATATTTCGCTATACGATCGTAGCATTTTTGCCGAGGGTTTCTACAAAAGTTTCAGATTTTTTACAAAATTACAAACAAAAACAACACGTGCCGAAGCATAGAGAAAAGTAATACATGTATAGGAAAATTTAGGAAATAGAGAACCCTCTCTGTCAAATTTTTGA